TAGAACAATGAATGGGATGTGGGAAAAAGGTGAAGACCGGGGACGGACGTCTGGAGAACTGCCAGACGACTGGGGGTAAAGTGATGACGGAAGCCGTCATGCACGACAAGTTCAATGACTTTTAGGTCAACAACATGGTACTTCGCCTCCAGTGTCCTCGGAATTTGGAGAAGCAAGTGGTTTAGAGGGAAGAGGTGGGCTTTGGGAGTTAGACCCACTTGGTGCAAATCCCAGCTCTGTAACTTATTGGCGGTAGGACTCTCACCCCTTGATTTTCTCCTGTGTAAAATGGGGATGACAAGGACTACCTCACGGGGCTGTCATGAGAACTGCACAGAGAAGCATGCTCGAGAATGATGGGTTTTGGAGGCTGAGTCTTGGGTCTTCCATCCACTGAGAAATCCTGAACGATTTACTTAATCTCTGCACTTTACTTTCCCCGTTTCTCCTGTAAAATGGGATAATAGTAGTGAGTCCCTCAGCGTTGTACTGAGGATTAGATGAGATGCATCTAGAAAGAACTAAAAACAAGAGCTGGTACATAGAAAGCCCTAGGAGAACAGTGGCTATAGCGCGGCTGCTAAGAGTGTGGGTGCCGGAGTTCTAGATTGCGCAGTATCTGACTCGCACCCTTGCCTCGGACTGGCTGTGCGATCTTGAACTTCAGTGATTTCACCTTGCACCTCAATCTCCTCATTTTAAAATGGGGATAATAATACACATAATACGCACATACCTTGTGGGCTTGAAGAGAGGATTAAATAAGATAATATTATGTAAGGTGTTTACAACAGCACCTGGCACCTAGTAAGTGCTCTATAAATGTTAATCACGACTAGCTCTGATTAGTCTTACTTGCTTTCCCTAGCTTGGTGTTGGTAAGATTTTCTGCTCCTATGTCGGTGAGGAGAGTCAGGCTGCAGGCTGAAGTGAACGACTCTGATCGGGGCCGCCGGGGGTCTCTGTGGGCCCAGAGCTCTGGCCTGGCTCCTTCATGTGCCTCCTTATTCACAGCCTCCGGCCTCTGGCCCTGCCTCCTTAGAGTGGGCCCAGGGGCCTGCGGGGCCCCATTTTGGAGCTGGCTTTGCGGTCAGGCAGCCATAATCTGTCCCCTGAGCCACACCAGAGTCTCATTAAAACGTGCCCCATAAATGTTAAAAAATTTACACATAAAAAAATTCCATGCATGAAACTGAAACCGTACGTTTTACAGCCTCGGCTTGAAATCTTGCATAATATATAAAAGCTCGGCACTGCACTGGGGGCCCGTAAATCAGATTTTATAAAACAAAAAGCTTTTACCTTTCAAAGGGGTTTGGGGAACTTGCAAATTTTACAAACTTCACCAACTGCCAGTCAGAGGTGCTAGGTCCAAGCAGGGGATCAGTGGGCCAGGTGAGAAATGGGCCTGGCGAGCCCTGGTTGGGTGTGGGGACTGGGGTGGGGGAGGGTATCCCCTCCCCCCCCCCCGCCCCGGGAGCTCAGCAGGGGGCATGCCAGCTTAGCCACCATGGGGGGGAGAAGCCACCCCCATAGTCCTGAATCAGGGAGGTACAGAAGGTCAGAGAGTCGGTGCCAGGGGATGGGTAGGGGGAGGGGAGGTAGGGCGTGGAGATGCTGGTGGCATTTATAAATGAGGGCTTTACTGCTCCCAGGAAGAAGAGAGGTGAGGACACCCTGGAAGGAGCAGGGCCTTGGGAGCCAGCAGACCCGGGTTCTGGTCCTAATGACTCATTTCCCTCCTCTGGACTTCAGCGTCCCCATCTATAAAATGGGTAGTCGGATGGGCTGGACTGGCTTCTCCCCGTGGTTGTGCTCTTCCCTTAGCGTTTTGTGACTGAGTCTCTCTTTGGGCATCAGTGCTGTGGCAGAGGTGGCTAGCCAGGGGAGGGAAGTTCCCCCAGAAGCCTACGATCTGGGAACCTCTTTGACCTTTGGGCAGCTCTGGGAGAGCACAATCAATGGTTCCCATGGGAACTTGTCTGGGAGACTGCCGGGAGCCGGGGAAGGGATCGCTCAGCAAGGCAGTTTGCTTGGAGGAATGGAGGACGGGCAGCTGGAGGTGGGGGCATGTACGTCCAAACGGTTGGCCTGCCACGGCTGGGGCCTATGGGCTCTCTGGGCTCGGGAGAAAGCAGGATCAGAGCATGGCCCGGGGTGGGACAAAGTTTTGGGGGACCCCCATGTCCTCCTGACAATCCCATCTGTGAAAGTCAATATTCAAGGGCAAAGGAAAGCCGCCCTGACACACATATATATAAAAAATAAATCTCTCAATTATCTCAGCTCATTTGCTTGGGGTCTCTCATTTTATGTCCCTGCTCTGCTGCGCAGTATATCTGTCCGGATAAAGAGTTACAGTCCGTTGGGCTACGTGTGCGGGGTTGTAAAAAATACAGATGCCAAATTAACTGGCTGTGGCACTCAGCAGCTGATTGAGCTGATAATGACGCGATCTGACCTTTTTCTAATTTCTAATTATGTGCATCTCGGCTGTGCTGGCTACATGATTCTTGTTCTAATGACGGCTCCTGTCGTTGGCCTCTCCAGCCGCCCCCTCCCCACACAGGACTACAAATGGGGTGGCAAAGGGCACTGCTTGACCCCCCAAATGAAGCTGCAAGGTCTCCGCCCCACAGTCTCTTTGATGGCCTGGAGGAGACGCTGGGAAGGTGGACCTCCTTACCTTAGCGATACTGCATTTGAGATTAACCTTCCAGATGCCATGCATTTTTAAAGGACATTTCGTTCCACATGTCATCTTGTTAATTTTTTTTATTGCCGTCACCCGAGAGTGGTGTGTTAGCTCTACAGACGAGGAAACCGAGCTTCAGCGGAGTTACATCATTCAAGTTGCACACAGGCTAAGCCGTGAAGCCAGGCTCAGGTCCTCTGTCTCCAAGAGCTCCTTCAACTCTTCAAACCCCTGACCGGTCGGCCAAGCCACTGACTGTGGCCAAGACCTCTAAGTAAATCAGGTCCATGTGGGTGGACGCGGTGTCTGAGGACCGTTCCGCCCACTGGGCCATTCCCAGCCTGGCCACCTGGGATAGAAGACCCGGGAACACCAGAGGTATGGGGCCACCGGGGCAAGACATTTAACCAAGTTCTGCTGGGCAGAATCAAGAGATCGGATTCTTTGAAGGAACAAAACCCCGGGAGACCCAGGCGGTGTTAGCAAGGGGAGAGCACAGAGCTGTGGCCACTTTTTGGTAAATTCCAGGTTATCCTAGAAAGGGAGGCTGTTCTCAGGGTGTCCGTGAACACTTCACCTGGCAGGTAGTGGCGGGCAAGGCAGGTGAGGTTTGCTGCCCCAGGACTCGTGCTTCCTAAAAAGGTTTCAGTTCTTTCCCATGACTCAGCCTGATTTGAGGCACTTTCTACCGACTTGAGCCTCCGCTTCTTTTTGTGTCATGGAACAGGAGTGGCTCGTGGCTCTGCCAGGCCCATTCCACCCCCCCCCCCCCGCCGAAATAGCTGCCTCCTCTCCTATCTCTGTGGCTGCTGCAGGGCTGAATCCCAAGGCCTACGTCACAGTGGCGGTCCTGAGATGGTGACCTGCTGACCAGCAGGGTGGGGCTGGACCAGCCTGCAGGGAACCAGACAGACAGCGGGCTGAGCTCCTGGGCAGTGTGGCTGCCCCATCCCAGCCAGGGGAGAGGGAGGGCCAGGGATGAGCAGAGCCGACCCAGGGCCCTCAGGTACTCACCCTAACAGCCCTGACGGCCGGCCCGTGCTTCCCTCTCTTGAACCGCCAGCCCCCCTCTCACACCTCACCAATTTCCAGGCCAGGCTGGGCTCTCCTGGCAGCTCTTCTGGACTCCATAAAATATCACGTTCAACTCTTGAGAGAAGCAGTGGGGTGGATAATTCACAGCACAGAATAATACGTAAGTCACTGAGATCTGTTCTGTAGGTGCTCTGAGTGTGTGTGTGTGCGTGGGCACACACGCGCATGTGCATACATTTTCTTCCTTTGTTTTTGGTGCCACATTTGCTTTTCTAATTCTATTTCCCTTTCGGGAGCAGGTATCAGCTAAACTCTGACTACGGGAGGTCAGCACTATAATCAATTTATGGAGGTGAGTTTTGCAGAGTTTCCAAATTCACCATGCATGGTCTAGGTAATCCACCCACAGAAAAATAAAAAATTGTGGTTAATAATTAATAATTCCAGGATAACTGTATATCATGATGAATGAATAGAGCAGCTGCTCTGTTTCTCTCTCTCTCTCTCTCTCTCTCAGCAGAATTCTCAGGGCCGGGAGAGAATTTCAGATGTCACCTATGGTAGTGGTTATCAAATCTTATTGATGATTGCAATTGCCTGGGAAACTTAAAAATGTAGATTCACAGGCCTCACCAAACGTAATGGAATCACAATGCCCAGGTGGTGGGGCCCGGGAATATGTATTTTAGAAAACCTGTAGTGATGATCTGGATGATAAATTGGGTTTAGGAGCCTGGTCTGTGTCCCCCCCAGATGGGCAGGACATCTATTGGCCTTCTTAACATGCCTGTGTCTCCAGGTCTTTTTCTCCATTGATGTGTTTGAATATGCCTTTTGCCCTTATCCTCCACACTGGAGCCCGCCAGCCGTCAGCTCCTCTCTGGGCAGCCCAAGACATTATTTATTAACACGCCAGGACTCCGGGCCTCAGAGCAGCTATTCCACGCCTTCTGGCTCCTATGACCCTCCTCCCCTCCTCTCTGCACCGCAAGTGGTGGGGGGCAGGGTATTGGGATGCAGGATGCAGGTGCCACAGTGAGCAGAGAACAGAAGGCCATTGGCAGCAAAACCTGGGCATGCAACTCTTGGTTTAAGGAACCAGCAATGGTTCTCAACTGCTAGAACGGGTGCATCTAGGGCCTGCCCCGTAGTGGGCACCGCACAGTTTCTGTTGAATGAATGGAATGAATAAAAGGATCATTTCTAGGGCTTGCGGAAGGATCAGAGGGTAGGAAGACCCTAGCCAGGGTGGGGGTTGGAGGGTCTTTACCAGATTGTCCAGTTCTGGGTCATCGCTGAAGAAGGGTTTGTGCTCCTGTTCCTGCTGGTGGACAAAGTTCTCGATGTCCACATCAAAGCTGGCGGAGGTGATGCACTCTGAGCCCTGGGTGGCCTGTTCACATTTCTCAAACAGCAGCGTCAGGAGCGGGAAAAGAGGGTGCCTGTGGGGACATCAAGAGCTCACACATGCGCACACACAGAGACCTGCTGCTGGCTGGGCTCAGAAGCCACCAGGGCCCCTTTCCCACACTCCTGTCACTTCTCCCAAGGTCCTGCTTCTTGAGAACATTCCCCAGTCCCCATGCCAGCCTGGATGGCAGCACCTCATGCCCTGGCATGGAGGATCCAGTGTTCCAGTTTCTGGAGCCTTAGAGGCTCTATTCCTCCCCTCTGGGTGCCTAACTTTTCTCTTTGGTCAGATAAGCTGCGTGGATATCTGGTGAGAGATGAGGGGTATAAGCCTTCACAGAAGTAAGTGTCCATTTCTGGTTCAAGGTCAACCTGGGAAGGACATATAGGAAGTGTCCAGAAAAGTCCTGGACGTGAGCAGTAGTGGTGGGTCACAGACTCATTCTTGGCCGTCTGGAGCCAGCTGAGGGCAGCAGATGTGCTCATGTGTGCGTCTACCATTGTACACAGAGGGATGTGTGTGAGCTCGAATACACGTCCACACACGGTGGGCAGGTGTCTCCACCTGTCCTGCATCCACTGGCTGACTCAGTTTAGGTCACACACCCCAGTTACACGTATGACATCTCCCTGCACCTTTCTATCAGTGCACACTTAGCACAACCGTGACTCAATGATTATCAGCATCGCCGTTCTCTTCCAAGAAAGTCCCCGTTTTAATGATCACTGTATCCTTAGGATGTTGCCCTGCATGCTCATAGCAGGTGCTTACTAAATGTTTGGTGGCGGATGATGAATCAGCAAATGAAGACAGCGTGGGTGTGAGCATGTGTGAGCATGTGGGTGTCGTTCCGGGATGCATTATGTAAGCCGGAGTGCCTACTTCAGTGCCTGACTGACCCTAGGGGTCCTCGATTAGACATCACCAAGTCTGGGAAGCTTCCTTCACTCCCCTGCCCCTAGCCTCTGCTGATGGCTCTCTGAGCTGTTTGTTTTATTATTGGCCTTCCTCACTAGACTGTGAGCTAGATGATGGCAAGAGCCAAGCCCACCTTACTCTTCACTGTATCCAGAGTCTGGAAGAGGTATGTGGATCCCATGAAATATTTATTGCATATTATATGTGCGTGTCTATTTGCACATTGTTCTTATTTCTCCGCAGCACGTGTGAACAATGAGGTCTTAGCATCCAGCATGGGTGCATGTGTTTGCACAGATTGTGGACCCTGGACCTGCAGCCTTATTCCCTTCCACTGAGATTCCGAAAGAGCATCTGCCCATCCCTCTCTGGGCTCTCCTCAGTCCCTTGGGACCACACAATCCAGCCCTTTTCTTTTTGATTAAGCCCTGCTTGCTGGGAGAGGAGGAAGTTTGTGTGTTGGGCCTGGCACTCAGGCCTCTGCCAATAGGCATGTTCTAGCCAGCATGGTCTAAAAGAACTTTCTGCAATGATGGAAATGTTCTACAATCTCCTCTGTCCAATATGGTAGCCACTAACTACAGGAGGCCAAGGGACACTTGAAATAGGACTGTGGTGCCCGCAACACTGAATTTTAAATTTATCTAATTTTAACTAATTTTAATGTAAATAGCCACATGTGGCTAATGGCTACCATATTGGAGAACACAGTAAGTCTTGAAAAGGCAAACAGACCATGCGTTTTCCCTTCTAGTATGCTACGAACACAGCACGAGGAAGACTGACTAGCCAGCCTACACAGTGTTTGTATGTAGATGAGGGACCCCTTAACAGCCTGTCCCATGCTGGGATTCTAATAATTCTGGGCAAAAAGACAGAAGGTGCTCAGTTCCATCCACACTCACACCTACACCTACTGGGCATTCTACTCAGGCTCAGGGGCAGTGGCGGATGAGGAGAGATACATTCCTGCTTTGGATGAGCCGCTTGGTGCCCCTGGACACCATCTCCCGACCCTTGTTTTGGGAGCTGTTGCATAAACAGTGGGACCCCCAGGCTGCAGCCTAGGTTACAGTCTGGAGAAGAAAAAGGGTCAATGCGTGAGGCCGGTGCATGGGCAGCCCCCCATGGCTAGAATATCCATTCGGCTCCGACAGGAAGCTGGTAGGGCAAACAATGGGTTTCCCTTACCCAGCCGGCTGAAGACAAAGAGAAAACCAGGTGCAGGGGTTAAACTCCAGTGTAAGTCTTCATTTGCAGGCACTAATACCGTAGCATATTATAGTCTAATCTAACCTGATCCCAGTTTAATGCAAGATTCTCCTGGCCCTGAGTGGAATACCAAAGAAAGCCTCAGTGGCTGTAATTTAAGCAGAGCCCTGCAGTGGTTTAGCTGAGGGACATGAAAGGCAAATTCCAGACGGTGTTATGAATTATTGCGCCTTATGAACCTTCCTACTCTCAACAGATGCCTGCTGCCATTTAAACAGCCACTAGATCAATTAGGAATGAAAGGCACAAATCGACTCTGTACAAGGGCACTAAATTACCAGGAACTAATAATCCGCGGCATCATGCCAGGTGGTGGGGGGGTGCAGCCCCCGCCCCAGCCCCGCAGTAGCCGCCGGTCACCGCACGCTCCTTCCTCCCTGGTTGCAGGGAGGGTGGGCAGCGGCTGCAGGGGGAGCGGACGGCCTCTGCGTGTGCATGCGTGTGCATGCGTATGCACCCGGCTTGAATGTGGGCTGTCGATGAGAGCAGGTGTGAGTGTTGTCCAAGCGTCCTGTCCCGTGTGTTGGTTTTGTGCGCGCGCACAGTGCGTCTGTGCAGGATGCAGGCACATATGGGTTGTGGGTATGAAAGCCGGGGGCGGGTTTTGCGTGCTGTGAGTACAGTGCGCATATGCCCTATATCGTATGCAGTGTGTGTGCATGCGTTACATGTTATTTGTATGCAGTATGTGTGAGGGGTTTGCGGGTTCTGTGTACACAGCATGAATGCCATGTGGGGCGGGGAAGAGGGATGGGGTCTCCCAGCATTAGAGTTCAGGTAGGCGGGGAGAGCAGTCTTCTTTGCCACCGTCCTTGACCCTGCAGGGCAGAGAGTAGTCAGGGAGGGCCTCTCTGAGGAGGTGACATTTAAGTTAAGCTTCAAATGATGAGGAGGCCGTCAGGCAGAGATCTGAGGGAGGGGCATTCCAAACAGGAAAAAAAAGCAAAGCATTTAAGATAGGAAGGAGCTTGGCTTGTTTCTAGAACAAAATCCAGATAAGTGTGTGTGGAGTGAGGTAGGCAGGATGGGAATGGAAGGACATGAGGTTGAGGAGAGAAGCAGGTGTTAGATCACAGGCGGGAGGGTGAGGAAGGATGGGGACATTGTCACGCACACTGGGGAACAATGTGCACCTTCTATGCAGAGCCGCAGCATGGGCCCTTTTTATAAACTTCTTACTTCCAGGTGTCAGATCTCCCCAGAACGTGTGTGTGTATGTGTGTGTGTACGTGTGTGTGTACGCGTGTGTGTGTGTGTATCCATGTGTGAGGGCATATCTGGGGTGTTTTCTGTGGCTTCTGCTATCTCTCAGAAGAAAGAAACATACTTTCTATTGCCGCCTCCCCCCGCCCCCAATTTAACCAGGGGCCCCTGGAGCACAGAGCAGACCTCTCGTGGATGCTGGCATGGCCCCCTCTCTCCAGCCCCTCCCCACCGGGGCCACATCATCAGCTCCCAAATCTCTCTTCTCAGATACCACGCTCCCCAGATTCCTGCTTCTGCCCACTCTGATCCCTGGATCCCTGAGCCCAGGGGCTCAGATGGCACCCGAGCTTGCCCACAGCTTTTGTACAAATGTTAGCCAGGGTCAGTGGGCTGCCTGTGGCTCCCATGTTCTAGCCTCCTGGATCCCTCGATAAACCCAGACTGCCACCTGCTACCTCAAGCGTGGGGACCCTGGAGACACTCTGCACCTCCCCCCGCCGAGAAACAGGCTGTTTCCCAACAAGCCGGCTGGGTTCTAGGCTTCAGTCATGCTATGCGCTCCTCTGAGGCCCAGTTCCAGCCCCTTCCCCAGCTGCCTGGCCTATGGCTTGACCTGTATTTCTAAGCTACCCTCCAACATCACCCCAGAAGGCTGGCGATGAGGCCGGAAGCCACTGCTGCAGGCTTGGGGTAGGGTGGGGTGAATAGGGCAGGGACCACGGGAGCTGGGCATCTTAGCCACCAGGGATATGAATGGGCCTGTCTGAACCAGGCGGGGGATGGGAAGGATTTCCAGGTAGGTGTGAGATTTGCTTCTTTATCCTTGGCCTACACCGAGCTTCAGTTTGTCCAGCTACAATGGGTTTTAAGGAGTTCCTTTCCCTGCTGTCCGGATCTGTCCCATTGTGAATCAATACCCTTCAGAGGCTAGAAGCAGGAATGTGGAAACTCAGTCCCCAGTGCCCAGGCGATGATGAACAAGATATGAAAGATGGCCGTTAGACTTTATTTCCAAAGAGTGGAGGACATTTGACCTCCATAAGAGCTCACCTTCTCCTTCCCAGATCTTTCTCCACTCTTCTCCCCCTGTCGCCTCCCGCCTGACTGCCCCCTCCACCCCAATCTCTCTTAAGCCGTTCAAAATTTGGAGGAAATAAATCTCACTGCACTAATTCAGTGAGAGTTTGAGCCTCGTCAGTGCAGAACAAATAAAAGGAGTGAACTGGCATGACATTTTACTGCAGAAGAGAGGTCGTTTCCAGCCACTAATAAAAAGGATTTGACACAGACTAATAAAGAGAAATGAATTTCTCTAATGGCCTAATTTAGCACATTCAGCACTGTGCCTCTGCCTGGGTGCTGGGGGGTGGTGAGAGCCGTGAGTGCGGACAGAGCCTGGAGCAGGGCAGACGCGGGGAGAGGGTTAGAAGAGATGATCTCAAATAACATTTTATTATTTCTTTTTTCTTTTCTGAGCCCCTACCCCCACCCCCACCCACATCACCTCTCCTCAGGAGCAACTGAACCAAAATCAAGCTCAAGATAGGCAGTTTCTGTTAACGATCCAAAGAAATAAAGAACCGCTCTCCCCAGAACTGCAGTCTCGTGCTAGCTTAAGAAGGTGATTAAACCGGA